GCCTTAACCGAAACAATAGAAATTCTTGATATTTTTGCTAACTAAATCATGATTTAATAACCTACTTATAAATATAAAGCCTAAATTAACTAAATTAAATGCATTAACTAAATGCAAGTTTTATAAAAATATTATAATGAAATGCGTATTAGGATCCCGAATTCCCTTATATCAATCCCCTTTAATCCAAATTTTATAAAATTGACAACACGATTCAATTATAAAGACCAATATTCCTAATTTATTTAACAATCTCTCTCAAGTAGAATTAAACATATTTTCACATGCGATCCGACTATATTTCTATAATGGATGCGAACATATAAAAATGCATTAAAGATTTATGAATACTTAAAGATCACATAAAGCATAGCAGTATATTTCTATCCCCTATCAAATTTTACGATAATTAACATGATGTCTAACTTATTTTCCATCTCTCAAGGGTAAAACAAGTCACAAAGCTCATACAACTATTGCGCACATAATTGTAGAGAAAATAAAATCCATGTCAATCATTCAATAATTAAAAACATGTTCTAACGACAAATCTACGTATACAATATACTATATTTAGCATTTTTTGTTCACCAATTAGCATGTAATTTTTCAAAATATTGCATAGGGATGTGGCTGTATTATATTTTTGGGTAAGAATGATGAATGTTTAGCTTCCTCATACATTTGAATATTAGGGAAGCTAAATGAAAAATCTGACTAAAAATATTAGAAAAAAGCTAAATTTGAAAGTAACGGTTTAAATAAATCCTTCTTGGATAATCAAATGATAAGCGTCATGCTATCCTAATATGGACACTAATAGAATCAACAAATCTTTTCTGGCCTTACAAAATAGTGCAACTATTTACTCCATGAGATCCATGACCTCGTTTCTATATCTGAATTTTGATGGTTTTTATTTTTTAGTTGGATTTGGTTACTTGATGTGTATGTGTCCAAGTTTAAGGCCAGGATTCCCATTTAATGGGTTTATACTTTTCTATGACATCTCTAATCATAACTTTGCACTTTATTGAACAACTTCTACCATTTCTTATACATAAATATATATATATATACTATTAGTATGTTTCTTATACATACAATTTGTTTTTCTATATATTTAAGGTAGTTTATCACTAAATTGAATCTATACACTATTTACATTTCGATTCTAGATAATTGTGTCTTTAAAACCATTTAAATAAATAATGCTTCTTAATCATCACATCTTCATGTTATGTTAGTTAATTACATTGGCCAATCATTTCTTTTATAGATGTTCTATTAACTATATTTAATTGTCCTTTTTATTTTTAGATTTTCACAACAGCAATGTGAACCTCACTATATACCACCAAACTTCTCAAGATATACAAACATGCCTCTCTAAATTAATTAACAAGCATAGACGCTTTAACTCTACTTGTTTTTTTCGAAGCACCAATATAGTTAAAATTAACAAGCTCAATTTTCATCATTTTAGTCACAAATTGAAAATTTTAGGTATTAAAGCTTCAAATGGCATAAACAATTCCATATATTTACAACAGGTAAAAATAGGTAGTTCTACCTTTTGTATTCTCAATTAATAAATTTTTGTTTTATAACATTTTTTTCTAATATAATTACAATTCTAGATATAGTTTACTCACTACTTTTGTTTTATGTTATGCAGAAATCAGTACAATAAGTAAATACTGCCTACAAACTGGAAAAATAGAATCAACAATACATAAAAGGTATTTCAACTTAAAATTACTACATCCGTTAAGAAATTGTATTACTCACTAACATACAATGGGAAAATCATTCAATTCCGCTATATGTATCCATTTTTTTCCAAAAATGCACCAATAATTACACCCTTCTATATTTCCATATAACTTCAACTTCTAGCTTCTCAACAAAATTACCATTTACGCAAAAAAACTTTTGTATATTAAATTTTTTTATTTAAATTAGCATCTAGATGCATTGAGAGTAATCACATTCTCATATGAAAAGGCAACAAATAGGTTCCATTTCCAAAAAAAACAAAGAGAATTTTACAACAAATTTTTCCATCTTTGTCTTACATACAGATGTTTTACAGTTGACACATGTCCATAGTACTTTCATTCTTATCCTTCCAACACTCAATTATATATTGAAAAGTCAAAATATATATTAAAATATTTCTCTCCTCTAAATTTTCTAAAAATACTGCACTTGGTACTTCAATTTCAGATTATGAAAATAGAATACACGTACTAGAATTCTCTCTTAAATCTGCCAACACTTTGCAGATTCTAACATCAGTCCATTTCGGGTAATTCTTTACATCTCCAGTCTAAAATTCTTACTTCATCTTCTTACATTAACAACTTTCTTACATTTCCTTAATATACAGTTAGAATGTTATATTCATAGGTACAACTATTTCTACTTAGACTTATTTATTCAAGCAACAAACAGATATCAAAGATGACTACTCTCTATAAGCTTATCCCAGAGATTTCTACATCAGAAAGTAACTGGTCTGCAAAAGTCTTTATCGCAGGAAAACAGCCACCAAAAACTGATCGTAGTTCTATACCCGATATCAAAACCTCATTCTAATGGATTTATAGGTAACTATGTATTAATAATTACAGCAATTTTCAAGCTTTCACTATAACTTTATTTTATGTTCATGTCCTTATCTCCTAAAATTGAACAGGGTAACAAAGAGACAGCTACAATGTATGATGCAAATATTATAGCACTTAACGATCAGCTCATACTCGAAAAGACATACATAATCTCAAACGCTATGGTGAAAGATAACAAAAGTGAGTTTAAAAGTTCACATGAAGAAAAGATTTGGATTATAACAGGGAAAACAAAGATCGAAGAGCTCAATGAGAATAACTTGAACTTCCTCTTTTCAAAATATGAGGTCAATCCATTTCACGAACTTGAGAAGCACATGGATAAGAACGTCAACATAAGTAACATTTCTAACTTTACAACCAGTATTTCTATGCATTATTTTATAGTTATTTTGTTTGTATTAAAATTTACTAGATGCAAAATACATAACAAAGAAAATTTTCCTGTCCTTCCAGATGTTATAGGAGTAGCTATAGATATTCGACAAAAACGAATGATCAAAACTCACTTTGGTACAGAAGCCTGTCTTCGGGACGTTATATTAATAGATAAACATTTTGAGATTGTGATGCTAACCCATGGGACACGTTTGTTGAACGGGAATGTGTTGCCATTGTTGAAAACCTAGCAACCAGACTTGTCATATGGGCTACAAATCTTAAAGTTTCTTCATTCAATGGTAAATTCAATATAAACATACCATTTTATTTACAATGACATTACAACAAAAAATGTAGACACATATTAGTTATGATTCATTTTTTTGCAGGCATTACACTCTCAACTAAAGTCAATAGCAGTATCTTCATTAATGCTGACTTATTGGTTGTTGCAGACTATAAAGAATGGTTTACAAACATACCTAAATAATTTCTTAACTTCTTTCAGCTATATTCTATATGTAATTGTATAATTCTTTCATGCAGGGTGATAGCAAACAAAGAAAAACTTGACAAACTTACAGAAAACAAACCATCTGTTACTCTCAGCCCAACAAAACTGTCACATCCAGCTGAAAATAAATTCACACCAATTGCTGAATTACTAGAAGTCTATCTAAGGGCATTTTCTCAACTACTTCGTTCAATATTATATAGCATAAATATATTTTTCCTACATTACATAATAAACATTATGAAAACACCCAACAATTTTTACTTTCAGTATTTTCATAATTTACTAACACATACATTTTTTTTCACAAAACAAATTATATTGGATCAGGGCCCATTAGAGAGTTATTGCAATACACCAGAAATTTTGGTACATGTCCTGCGGTAATTGCAAAAAAGCATCCAATGTAGACTTCGGACAAATTTACAAATGTCAATTTTTCAAGTATGAACATGCAAAAGCAGTACCAAGATAAATCGAACTTTTAAACATAATTTTAAATATTTACTATCATCAATACTTTGTTCAAACAATACACAATACCTAATCGAAAACAATTTATCCACAGAGCAAATGCTTTTCTGCACCTTGAGGACAGATCTAGAGAGTTAGATGCAAGCATTATAGGCGAAGCAGCAAAGGCATTATTGGAAACTAATGCCAATGAAATAATGGACCATTTCCAAAAGATAAACACCAAATACTAACATCCTCTAGCATTAATTTTTTCGAAGCACCAAAATACAATAGTAAAATGCATTTTATCTATCACAGAACCCAGATGGAGAGCTGAACAATGTTATGAAAACCAGTATTGAAAGAGACTTACCATTCTATATAAAAGTGACACAAAAAAAAAAAATCCACCCGAATACCGCTATGAAATCATCTTCATCTTCAACTATCTACCCACCATCACTGATGTGAATTCCTCACGTGCAATCATTGAAATAGATCCTTCAATTGCTATAAGTGATGTCAAGAATTCAACTGAGATGAACAAGAGTTTAGACAAGAAAAACACAAAGGGAAAAACAAAGTATGCAACACTCACACTGAAGTTCTCAAATACACCGAAGAAACGATTGCAATCTCTGCAAAGAGGCCTCTCCTCGAAGCACTAGATGAAACTACTGAAACAGAGCCTCTGAATCTAATCACTAGACCAATGTCCTTGACTTGGAAGAAAAAACCATTCATAAAATAATTACAATACTTTTGTGACAATAGGCAAAGTTATATATAATATCCCTAAGGCAAGTTTATATGCCTATGTGTAGGATCTTAAGCCTTAGTCTTTTGTTAAAGTCTACTTGTGCAGTTGCTACTAATAGTATTTAAACTTCTTTTATTATCATTAAGAAATAGTCTTCAATGCTTCATTATTTGGTGTGGATTTTATTTAACTTTTCTCTTTAATTTAAGATTGGATGAATTATCATTTTCCCAGTAAATTATGGATTTAATTTTTCTCCTGAACAATGTTTTCCCCATTACTCCAGTCCGACATTCACTGATTTACTAATGCCATTTTTTCTCTTTATGATGGTTGTATCTCTTTCACTTACAAGGTACATGTTTCTTCATGAAAAAACAATTACACTTGGTTTACATTTGTGTCATAGCTTTATTCTAGCATGTGCATCTAAATAATATTTGCGATCTTGTCTTATCATCCTCCTTTACTAAGTAAAAGCAAATAATGTCATTTATGAGTTTTAGGTAACTCAATGTTTTTACAATGTTCCATGGAATTTCAACTAGAAATCATTTTCTTACCTTCATTTGCATTATTGGATATACTATCTCCAAAATACAATAGGTATTATGTTTCTTTTGTGAATGAAGTCTACGAATGCTCTTAATATTCCTATGTATACAGTCTTATACTCTTTTTCCCAGACTTTCTCTTGCACTTCAGCATAGCTTTTTGAATAAAACATTACTCAAGATATATGGTGATTTAGTTGAATTCAATAGTGTATACAGTCAATGGATTCATCAATAATAGCTTTGGAAAACATTATCAAAACTGCTTTAGATTGATTAAGTATCTATTGATGTCCCCTGAGCATAAGCAATTATTTTTAGAATGCACATTAGATTTTCATTAACATTAAACACATTAACATTACTTTAAAAATAATACATGTACGGGCTAAAAACTAGTAAATTTAAAAAACGGAAAAATACACAAATCAAGTTTTAACTATGCACAATTCAAAAATCAAGCGTTAAGTTTCACTAATGCAAAAATCAGGTTTTTATCTAATTAATTAAAAATATTTATTAATTAAGTATAAGAAAAGTCACATTTATACAAATAACGGTCACATGTATAAGGTCACAGATTTATTTATTGATCACATGTCTTCAATTTAATTGGTCACATTATTTAGAGATCACAAATCAAAACTTTTATAAGTCACATTATTTCGAGATCACAGATCAAAAAATTATAGATCACAGTTTATGTCATTTGCCACAAATCCAAAAAAGTATAGGTCACGGGTCACATATTTTCAAATTTAATGATCACAGATTACTTTTTTAGCCACAAAATAATCGAATTTCAACGTCGCAGATTAATAGTCAGTCACAGAGAATCAAATAGTTGATCACCCACACCAAACACTCGTTCCCGATCCGTTTCAATACTTGATCACAAACACTACCCCCAGCCACAAGATCATCCCAACCATCGTCGCCACCACCACCATTACTCCAAAAATCGACAAATCTAACTAAAATAACTCAACATCAACCACCGCACTAAGCCAAGCAAGCCACCAACTACTAGCAATGACAGGGATCGAACAGTAAGAGTACAGCAGGTTGATCAGAAAATCGCCAACAAAAACCACAGACCACCACACCATTGCCGACCAAAAACCGCCTACCACCACACTATCGCTTGCACAGCACCCACTTCCAAGAGCTATAAATACAACCAACAAAAATCAGCTCCAAAAGATTCAGCACCACCAGATCGAACAGTGCAGCCACATCGCTACACCACACCACATCACACTGCTACCTAGAACACCACCACACCACACCATACCGTCCCAAAAACTTAGGTGCCACCAAATCGAACTCGCACAGTTGCATTGCCAACCACAACACAACGCTACCTAGATTCACCACAACACACCACACCATACCTACCCAATCCAGCGTCGATCTCGCCTTTGCATCGAGACGCCACTGTTCGTGTTGGCCAGCAAAAGCTGAGCAGAGAAGAAGTGCGCACACACCCGTCACCGCCGTTGTCGTGAGGCGCTTGCACTCCGAGGAATCGCCGCGATCTATGCACCGACGAACACACAAATCCGCACGCAGAGACGCCGCGTTGGAGTTGCGCGAAGAGACTGTTGTGCCGATGCCATGACTCAACGCCAGTGGTGCCATGTCACCAGAGAAGAGAGAGACGGACCAAACGGCAGATGATATAAAGACGGAACGATGAAAACGAAAGCGGAAATAAATCTAGGGTATGGGGTGTTGAGGTGTGGCGGGTTAATTATAATACCTGATTTATAATTAATTAAACTTTGCACCTGATTGTTGAAAAGTGATTTTTAAACCATCTGGTATTGATTTCCACTTTAGAAAAGGATAAATTTTTGGAAAATGGGCTCAAACTTCCAGTTCTCTTCTATTGGATTCTTCAGCAAGGCACCTTCCAAATATAACACCGAAAGCAATCCTACACTGATATCAAATCAAACCCTCAGTGGCAATATATCGCAGATCCTACAGCATCGTAATAACAGAATAATGTTCAATCCAATCCTAGTATTTCTCGTCTTCATTGTCTTAGTATGTCCCACTTCTTGCCGGAAGCACCACGTCATCAACTTCCGGTGGCATAATCTCTATCCGGAATCCTTCATATGGGATCCACAGTCGGAGCACTTTGTACTCGGATCCCTCCGACAGCGGACCCTACTCTCCGTCTCCGACGCCGGCGTCACCTCCTATCTCCTATCCGATACGTCCCTCCCGCCCAACTCGTCCTTCCTCGGTCTCGCCCTGGATCGACGCCACCACCGCATCCTCGCCGTCGTCCATCGCTTTTCCACACCTACAACCCCTGCTTTCAACGCCCTAGCCTCCTACCACCTCTCCACCTTTCACCAACTCTTCCTCACTCCCCTACCCCCTACCCCCCTTCACTCGACCGTCGTCGCAAACGACGTCGCAGTTGACTTCTCCGGCAACGCTTACGTCACCGACTCGGCCAACGACGTCATCTACAAACTCAACATCGAAGGACAGGCCTCAATTCTGTCAAAATCCCAAGCCTTCAAATTCCATCCCGTGGACCGCAACGTACCCTATCACAACTGCGGGTTAAACGGCGTCGTTCACAACTCCAAGGGCTATTTACTAGTCATCCAGTCAAACACGGGAAAACTGTTCAAAGTAAACGATGACGACGGAACGGCGAGGGAGGTGATTCTTAACAGAGACTTAACAGCGGCAGATGGGATCGCCGTTAGAAGTGACGGCGTTGTGGTGGTGGTATCACAATATAAACTGTATTTCATCAAGAGTGATGACAACTGGAGTGAAGGAGTGGTGTTCGACGAAACTGCCCTTGAAGAAGAAAGGCAGGCTAGTGCTGTGGTCGTGGGTGCAAATGACAGGGTTTATGCGTTATATGGGCATGTAGACGAGGGCGTGATGGGGAATACAGAAAGAGAAGAGTTTAGTATAGTTGAAGTAGAATCAGAAAATGAGAGTAAAGGAGAGAATGTTTGGATATTTGTGTTGATTGGTTTGGGGTTGGTTTATTTCTTGTTTTGGAGATTTCAAATGAGGCAGTTGGTGCAAAATATGAACAAGAAAACTGCCTGAAATTTTTCTCTTTTTCAAAACTTA